TGTGCGGGGGGGGTGGGTGTGGTGGTGGGGGGGGGGGGGGAGGCAGAGGGTTAGCAAGCTTCCCCTCCCCATTCCATCCCTGCTCACCGTCCCTCCCCTGTCATTCTTGATGGGCAATTTGCTAGTACATGCACGCGCGCACACACACACACACACACACACACACACAAATATAAAGAACTAAATCAGGGCTACAGTTCTTTAATCAAACCATTTTATATTAAACTGTGATCCATGTAATCAGTATGTAGTGCTTGGAAGTTCTTACTGTTTTTGAGTTCTTAGCATCCCGCATAAGCCTTTCTGCAGATTTTAGATCTTCCTGTACAGCATCCACACCACAGTTTCTTAAAGAGTTGAGATGATCTTGTACTTTAACACATATTCTGTCAATCATCTACTCAGGACAAAAGAAGAAAAAAGATGAGAAAATATTAGAAGCAAAGGCAGAAAATAGATTATTTGCAAAGAAGTGGTGCTGATCAAACACAAAGTTAAGTTTCAGTCAATTCACAGATGCTAGGGTCAGAAGGGACCTCAACAGTTCATCAAGTGTCTAGGCAGGAAAGAGTACTGGGGTCAGATGACCCCAGCCAGATGCCTATCCAGCCTTCTCATAAAGACCCCCAAGGTAGGGGAGAGCACCATCTCCCTTGGAAGCCCATTCCAAATTTTGATCACCCTTTTTGTGAAGAAGTTTTTCCTGATATCTAGGCTAAATCTGCTCTCTGTTAGTTTGTGACCATTGTTCCTTGTTACCCCAAGAGGTGCCCTGGTGAACAGAGCATCTGTGATCCCTTGCTGTGTCCCCCTAATGAATTTGTAGGCCGCCACAAGATCACCTCTCAGCCTTCTCTTGCGGAGGCTGAAGAGGTCTAGGTCCCTCAGTCTCTCCTCATAGGGTTTGTCCTGTAAGCCCGACTATACGAGTGGCCCTCCTCTGGACCCTCTCGAGTCTATCAACATCCTACTTGAAGTGTGGCACCCAAAACTGGATGCAGTACTCCATCTGCGGTCTGACCAATGCTACATAGAGGGGAAGTATCACCTCCTTGGATCTATTCATCATGCATCTGCTGATGCATGATGAATCATCAGCAAAGCTAACCGCATTTTATCACACTGACAACTCATGTTCATCTTGGAGTCCACTAGGATTCCAAGATCCCTTTCCGCTTCTGTGCTGCTGAGAGGGTCACTTCCCAGTCAGTAGATGTACTGGATATTTTTGAGCCCTGGGTGCAGCACTCTGCACTTGTCCTTGTACTGCATCCTATTGTGTACTGCCCACTTTTCTAACCTGTCCAGGTCTGCCTGCAATCATTTCCTACCCTCTGGAGTATGCACTTCACCCCACAATTTAGTATTGTCCACAAACTTGGACAGAGTACAATTCACACCCACATCCAGTCCAGATTCTAGATCTAAATGAACATGATGGTATTTGCTGTTAGGACCCAAAGCTCTCAAATGTATATTTAGAGCCTATGTGTGTACAAATGTTTCTGATATAAAAATATTTTTCTACTATAGGAAAAAAAGGTGCAAGTAATAACATGATGTACCACTTTTCCCCTTTTCTTTTGTTCTTCCCACAGCTAAAAGTTAGCTGGGTAGCGTGGGAGGGGGTGGGAAATAGGGAGTATACACAAAATACTTTGAGATCTAAAACATGGGTGTAAAGATTATTGAGTTGTTGTCAGTAACACTACATTGTCAGCTCAGACACTAGTGATAATTTATTTCTGCTTTCTGAACAAATTACTGTTGAGTATGATTTGCAAATATTTTCAAAGTAGTAAACATTTCCAATCAAAGAACACTGGTTTAGACCTACGTCTATCAAAACAAAAAACTGCTTTCACAATCTTTCATCATTTAAATCTGAATTAGTGTTGCATTTGATACAAGGGTTCAGGGATGCGTTTGGTAGCCATGTTGGTCTGAAACAAAAAGAAATGCAAAACTCTATAGAACTCTTGGTTCAGAGATGATACTTGAACAAGATAATTTTTTGTGATTTCTTAGTTGGTCTAATAAAAGATATCATCTGTGAATCAAGAGTTCTAGAGTTTTGCATTGCACTTGATACAAAACATTCCACACAGTCAAATAGAAAGGCGGAAGCTATGTGCCCTATAAGATAGAACAATATTATTCCCTCACCTATGAATGACAATTTTTTTAGTTATTTGTGGCTAAGAGAAATAGGAGGGAATACAGAGTGCTTATATCACTATGGAGGCAATAAAAAGAGCTTAAATAAATTCTTTAAAGCAAGTTATTTGTCTAACATTTTGAAACCCCAACAAATTGTCTACATGATAATGTAAAGTTTGTAAATCTAGTATTTTTGCTAACTGGTACCAAAGCACATCCACAGCACATTCCTTTTCTGCTCTATTTTTCTCTCCAAGGGGTTTTAAACCCAACAGATTAATAAGTAGATAATATGGAATTCCCTTCACTTGGGTCATTTAAAGATTGAACTGGACAAATAAAAAAAATATTCTCTGGAAATAATAACGTACTGGTGGGGGGATAAGCCAGAATATCTGTCTCTGTTCTGGAATGTTTGTTAATTTCTGTTTTACATTATGATTCACTTTATACCCAGTATTTAAATAAGCATGGGTGCTTTTATTCTACTTTGTAAAAATGGTAATTTAGATTTCCTGAGACCTCATTGTAGGGGGAAAGAAAACCAACCAAAAAACAGATGTAAACAGGACTAAACATAATGCAGAAGAAAATTAATGTGAAAAGGGTAGTAATGGAACAGATCAGGGTGCACTGATCAACTGGCCCATGGGGCAAAAAGGTTGAGCACCACTGCAATAGATGAATGGCTAGAATAAAATAAAATGCTGCTGCTCTTGGAGGTTTTAATGCCACTGCATCCCTGTGTACCATTTTCTCTGTCAAGAGGGTGGAAAATACTTTCAGCCTCTAGTAATAAACCATTGTTCTAAGCCTCCAAACTGATAAAAAAACTGAAGCAGGTGTGAGGAAACTGCTTAAGGATTAGAGCAAATCTCCACTTTCTCCAGCTTAGTGGTGCCAAACCTCTGCAGACTGCATGAGTGTTATGGGATTAGTCCATGAGCCTGATCCAGTGCAGGAACAGTGCATGGGGGTCAGTCTGTGGGCCTGATCCAATGTGGGGTTGGCTGACAGGTGCAATCTGGCACAGTGAACTCTGCCATGGATCAAACTTGTGCACCAATGCAACGTAGCATGTGAAACCACATCATCTGCCTACAGGTGGGCAAAATACGGCTCATGGACTGAATGTGGACTGCCAGGCATTTTCATTTGGCCCATGGTGCCCCTCACAATGAATTGCACCCCACCCAGCCCTTCCACTCACAAGGGTGGAAGCAAGGTGCCCACGTGTACAACCCCCCAACATATCCTATTGGGCCTTGCTCCCACCCTCTTGGGTAGAATGGCTCTTCTGGATATACTCCTGCTGCAGCCAGAACAACATGCTTGCTCGAGGCAGCAGGTAGGGAAGTGGCGGGGCAGATAGGCAGGGTGTGGGTGTAAAGGTGGGGTGTGTAGGGGCCCCCTACACACTCCCCCCATGGCATGCAGCCCCAGCCGCCAGCAGCAGCAGTTGGCAGGGAAGTCAGGGCAATCGTGCCCAGTGGGGCGTGGCTCTGGCTAGCACTGTGCAGGAGGAGGGAGCAGAACCTGCCTTATCACCAAGGCTCCACGCCACGCATCTGCAGCTCCAACACTTGCAGCTGGGGAAGCTCTGCATTGGAGCCTGCTGCCTCCCTTGCTCCCTGCTGTGCAGGTCCCCACACTCCACCAGGAGTGGAGGGAGCCCTGCCCCTTGCTTCCCCACAGAGTCCAGCACAGGTCTGTCCCACTGTGAGTGTGGAGCAGCAGGCACACAGCGCAGAGCTCCTGCGATAGAGGCAGCTGGGCAGGCTGCAAGGGGGTGTGTGGGGGCTGCGTGCCATGGGGGTGTGTGTAGGGGGTCCCTACACCTCCCACTCTCCCTTATACCCCACATCCTGCCCCCACAATCCCCACCGACATATACTTGCACTCCAACATACCCTACGCCCCCCTTCACAACCACACCCCACCACACACACAATATAAGTGACACTTTATTTTTGAGTTATTATGCAATCCCTTCTATATACAGTAAACAATCACAAGTCATGACAAATATTTTTGTAATATAATTAAAATACATTATAGTAGGTGTTTGACTTCTGGTGTATGATTTGGTTTGTTTCTGGTTCTAAGATGGCAACCTCCCCTCTCCAAAAGAATATG